ATAATAAATAAAAAATTGGAATGTTTTAACTTTACTGTTTTAATATATACTTGCTGGTAAATATCGATTTATTGATTATTAACTTTTCTATTCTCTACCACCTTATGCGAAGAACTGGTGTTCAGCTACTAGATAACTAAAAATTTTGAATTGGAGAGTTTTTGCGGTTAATGCAGATGTAGCTGTGCAAAGTTAAGGTGTGATTCAAAATGGGAATCAATAGAATAAGCTGTAAATACAATTATTACATTAATATCTATCAAAAAAAAAAAAAACTGAGTTGTGCTGAGTCGTAAGTTTGTAAACTAGAAAAAATACTTAAACCCTAAAAAGTGCCTTGAGAGCTAGGCCTGTTAGTCTAGCACAGTGTTTCCCAAACTTATGACTTTTGTGTACCATTTCTAAATTTTTCGTAACGCTGTGTACCACTAATAAAAAAAATGAATGTATTTTTTACTATAAAAAATTGTACAAAAGTTGAAAATCACAACTGGCTGTTGACACCACTAATTATTAACTGTTAACTCTATAAAAAATAGCCAATAGAAAAATACGTAATCATAAATTTTCATGGCTAGCTTTATTTTTAAATAAAATTTTTTGAAATTTTCGTTTGTTACAAGATATTTCGCATAAGAACGCGCACCCCTGGGGGTACGCGTACCACATTTTGGGAAACACTGATCTATCATAACTAAAGATTTTTTTTTTTAATAAAAATACTTTTTTTTTCAGTTATAGTAGTATACAATAAAGAAAAAAAAACAGTTCAATTAGTCAAATTTCTGCTAGTATATACGCAAATACGGCAGAATAGTGTATGAAAACAGCATTTTGACAAAGAAATGATTCATCCATTTTCAACTTTTACTTTTACTTTCTAGTTTTTTTTTTCACTAAATGAGTATTTCTTCTTTTTTCAGTACATTTTTAATAAAATAGCGTTATCTAAAAATTTTTTTTTATCAATTTTATTTTTTTAACTTTTGAACCTTTCATATTTTTATATTTCATGTTTGATTACTATACATGTAATATATGAAACACTGAAAATTTATTCAGGAATTATAAAGTGATTTGTATCATAGAAACGACTAAAACCATACCAAATGATGTTAATTAACAATCAGATAAACCCACCTCGTAGTTTTGACGGTGGAAAAAAAAAAAAAAAAAAGAGCACTTGAAGAAAAGGTCCGTAAAAAATACCTATTATACTAAATACCTACTAAAATTACACCTTATATACCAATAAAAATTACTTATAATAATTAACTGTATGAATTTCAAAGCCGATTCAATTGCCCCGTTGATCCCNTGTTAGTTAAAAATAGTTAAGTAAAAAATGTTACAATTGACCCCACTCTCCCCTATATATCTTAAAAATATTAATATATAAAGATTAATTTAAACACTATCTAGTATTTAACAAAATGATTAAGACTCTTAACTCTCAGCTACGCATTTTCTTAAAATAGAAGAATAACACTGGGGATCAGATTTTTTGTCCAATTTATACGAGTGCATTTCACCGAATTCGGGTAAGAGGATTTTAAATAGTAAGCTACAGTTGTCCGTTCCTTATGTTCGTAAAGCTACTGATCTTCTTTTCTCGAAAATGTATTTTTGGTTCAGTTTATTTATTTTATCATCGGGATGGTGTACAATTTTATGAAGAACGAATAGAAGTTTATATTATATTTATATAAGAGAGGGAGGATTAAGTAGTTCTAAAACTGACCTTAATTTCTATAAAACGCACTTATATTATTGTGAGGTACAAGCAATGCTTTTTGCCTAGTTATTGCTTTAAAAATTGTGCTAAATTAAAATACTTTTAATTTTGTTGATATTTTTAACTTATTAAAAGATTTAGCCAGTGCGAAGCAGTTGATCGATACATTATTTATAACAATATTGTATACTATTATATAATTGAAAAAATTAAAAATATATAAAAATTGAAACATATTAAGTATTAAAAATATATGAAGTAGCATGTATCACATTTCACTTCTATTTATCACGTATGACCTCTTTTTCAAGAGTCTCAACTGAAAAATAGGCGAAATTATTTCTTCAGATACAAAAAAAAAAAAATCGATGCAATCATAAAGTTGCTTAAATCCAAAAGGTAAAGTGTCTTAAAAATAGTTTTATTTTGAAAAGAAAATTTTTAAATATTTTGTCTGTTTAATTTTTTGATCAGAGTGTTAGGAAATTTATAAATGTATACATAATATCATATAATCATATGTGACTAAACAATCACGAATGAGATCAATCTTTTGGGACACTTTAACATTTTTAATTGCAGTCGAACTTTTAAAGAAATGTAAGATAAAGTAATAAAACATTTTGCTAAACAAAGAACACTTTTTTTTGGTATCCGAGGATATTTTCAAAAAACTTAATTATAAAATGTTTTATTGTATTGATCTTTTGATAATAGGCTTGTAATTAGTGATATGATCACTTTACCATAAGTTCCAAAAGCGTAAAAAAGTTTTTACAGACTTAATTTGTTTTTAACTATTACCCGGAAGATTAGGAGAAAAAAAGATCCATCATAATTTAGAGTATGCAAGAACGAAAATAAAAGGACCATCCTGAATAACTTTTGATCTAATGATCGGATTTTCACATTAAAGGGCTTAATCTTTATGGCTCGAGGGGGTGTCCTCAAATATGCTAATTAATAAGTGCGGATGACATTTTAAGTAACGAAATCAGACACAAAACGTACTTTTTTTCTTGAATAAACATATCTTTTTTTCGACGGATTCAGATTTCTGACCCCCAAAATATAAGAGGTAGCTGCAATCTGGGAAATATGGTCCCGATATTTTAGTCAGGAGAACCCCCCAAAGTTTAAACCCACTAATGTTAACTTTACTTTTTGCGTATTTCGCTATATCTAAATTTTTTACACACAATTATAAAATTCGTTGCAAAAAATAACTAAGTATATTTATCATTTTATTTAAGAATAAATGGTTGAAAATATTTTGAATAGTAAGGTATACAATTTTTGGGTAGCAAAATACAAAATTTGAGTAAAATCGGTTCGAATGAGAAATCAAATTTCAAAAAAGTCAGATACTTAAAATTCAATTTATCAGAAACTATTCAAACGATTTCCCCCAATTTTGCATTTTGTTATACAAAATTACATTCTTTAAAATGATGCAAAAACCGTATACCTTACAATTCAAAATTTTTTCCGCCACTCTTAAATAAAATAAAAAGTAATAAATATTTACTAAAAATTATTTTTTTGAATGGAATTATCTTTGAACAAACAAATTTTATAATTGTGTATGAAAACTTTCAATTCGCTTAAAAAGTTCTTGAGATAGAGAAATACGCAAAAAGTAAAATTAACAATAAAGGGTCTAATTTGGGAACCATATTATGAGGGGTCAGAAAATCGTTAAGTAATAATCGAAATAATTAAAAAAAAAATCATTAAATGATTTTTAAGATACCTCTTACGTACATAAAAGTGATAAACACAGAATTTTTATGTTTGAAATTATTAATAAATTACCTAAAGTTATTAATTTTTTATTGAATTTAGTTTTTCTGTGTTTTCTTAAAAAACAATAAGTTTTGAAAATTCTTAAAAAGAAATTAATTAATAAAACATGTACCCCTTGCCCCCCCCCAGAAAGTTCCAGAATGATAGACTGCAGCTCACCTTTGGAGGTGTTGAGATATTCATATTGGGCCTAAATCAAATTTTTAAATTAATTTACAACATCCCGATAACTTTTTCTGTATTCAGTTACTCAGGTACGTGCCTCAAACTTCACGACCATATTATAAAAAAGTTGAATCAGCAACTATAGGTCTGTTGATTTATTTTATTTCTGCTATAATTGGGCTTCTTTCCCTGCAAATTTTATATTCGTCTAAGTCTAATTTTGGCAAAGGCAGTTAATGGCCTTGAAATTTATGCAAAATGTAAGTTTCTTGCTACTTCAAGGTCATGCCAAATATACAGGCCACACACGTTTAGTTTTTTAGGTACTTCTTATTGGTATCTATCTATTCATAGAAGTTAACTGTTGGTACTACAATAAAAATTTTATTAGATTTCGACCATGAATTTTGATGCAAAAAGCAATAGAAAGTATTGTTTTAATAGTTAGTGTAGGCGTACTGGAACATAAAATAATGGCAAGCGCCGTGATTCACTCTTTTCATAGTTGTTGTTTCTAATGTCACATGGGCAAGCCTGCTTGGTGAAACCGAGCAAATTTAAAGCCGAGAGTGCGTTTCTTGTTTTTCAGTGGCGCCATCTATGGCCAAGAATTCGACTTCTGCCACACCATACCTCACACTCGGTATAGGGCGGACCCATTCATACATCCACAGATCGTAATTTTGACCTGAATCTGAGAACGATCGATCTCCAATCCAGTACCCCTAGAGGTATTGATTTGTTATGGGAACGTGGAGGACGTTTGCGACTCGACAGATTTAACGTGCATCAGTCACTATACTACACGGGGAGTCTTTGGCCGGCGGGGTTCGAACCCACGAACTCTCGGACATGGGCCCAGCGCCCTACCGACAAGGCCCATTCTTTTCATAGTACGTATAGCAATTTATGTTAATGTTATGTTAATTATATATGCAATTTATGTTAAATGTTAAGCATCCAAACCTGTTTGATTTAAAAAAAGAAATAAGAGTCATATTTTTTTACTCGTAACGCCTTTAAAAAAAATTCGAATAACTTATATATTAAAGGTTTGGAGCAAAATGATAAGTAATGCTTTTTAAGGTGACATTCTTGCATCAAACTGTACTTAAGTTTTATGTATTTCAATCAGATAACAGAATACACATAAGCAATTTATCACCTACATGGAAATCAGTGTTTTTCATGAAAACAGGCCTTAAAAAACGTTCACTTTAAAAATGTAGCTTATCATTAAGATTTCTTCAAACACTTTAATTAGAAACATAAAAAATATAACACAGGAAACATATTACTAAACTAGAACATTTATTTCGAAATCTCATAGTCACATCTTTATTTCAGACATACACATTACATGGATTTGGAAGAAAAACAAATTTGGCCAATTAAGTCATAAACTATGTACAGTAAATATCTTTTCATACTTAAGTAATTTCATAGTTTTAAACAGCAAATTATAAAGTTAGGAAGAAAAGTTCTCAGCATTCTTTCACAAATCAAATTAGTACATCATTATATTTATATCAATTACTAGAAAAAGGGTTATTAGGGAAAGTGAAAAAAAAAGAAGAGAAAAATACATGCTTTTATATTTAATGAAGAGAAAGGAACAATGATAAGATTAATATCATTCATCATCACAGAATCAGAGCTTTCATTAATATACTATAGGTTTTTCATTAGCGATGATTAAATTTATAGCTCATTTGTTTGAGCAATAACATTTGCATAGATAAAATATGTATATACACTATGATTTTATATTTCACAAATTACAATAAATATAAATCTTTAATTAATAGAATTTTTTCTTTGGTTAATTTATTAAAGTCGCATAATTTATAATGAAACAAATAATCAGACAGACATCAATACAAATAGTGTTTAAAAATTAAGTATATACAAAAGGGGAAATTTGAGACATTAAGTATATTTTTAAAGCTCAACTTTTCATTTAAAAAGTGTTAATATTGTGCTCATTATTAAATAACATTTGGCAATTAGTCATTTTTAATAAATAGTTTTAAAATTTAATTGTATACAAGACGGAATAGAATTTGAAAGTAGTTCATAAGTATTAAATTTATTTAAATCATGGAGAAGTTGTTTAAAAAAATCTTGCACAGCAAATCTTAATCATCATAAGAATACAAGGAACTGTTGCTTTATTTTAAGAATATAAAGCAGTATATACTCAGATCAATTAGTTCAGTTATTATTAAAAGTTATAATTTTTTTTTTTTAAAATGCTAAAAAACTAGTTACATAAATCTTGCTCAGAAAATTATAACTAATCCCAAGAATGCAATAAATTGTCATAATTGGAAATTTAAAGTGGGATATGCTTTGTACATATTGTTAAGAATTATTAAAAGTTATTGAAAAAATTAGAGAATGCATTCCATGAGTCTTAGTAAATTATGTCTAATCTCAATAATAGAATAAATTGGACTTATAAAGTTAAAGAAAAAGTGAGAAAAGTTCACAAAAAAGTATTACAAATTTTTGTTTTTAAAAAAATTATAGAGAACTTAATCCACAAATTTCGTTTCGTAAATTGTGACTAACTAATCTCAAGAATAGAATTAACTGTCGAATTTGGAAGAGAATGAAATTCAAAAGCACTAAAAATTTTTAATGTTTATAAAAAATTTATAGAGAAGACGTTCCATAAATCTTGCTTAGCAAATTATGACTAACTAATCTCAAGAATACAATGTTTGAACTTTTAAAAATTTTAAATAAAACTATTTACAAATTTGTTAAAAGGAGAAACTAATTATAGTCCTATCTTAATACATATGATCAATGAATGGGAACAAATAATCAGTCATGTTAGATTAAATTTCTTTGTGATCTATGGTGGATGAAAAAAATGAGCACTAAAAGTGTTAAGTAGCTTGAAAAGGATGTATCTCAATCAGAGGTAACAGCTTCAAGAGCACCAAAGGGCTTTGTTCTGGTAGTACTCAAGGTGGAATGTCCAGTTTAAGTCATAGGGATCTTTCATGTGGCAAAACTTGTCTTTACGTTGCTTTTTGTTCCATTGGAGGTGAGGTTGTCAAAAATGTCTAGGGTCCAAACAGATCGCCTTTTCTTTTCAAATACGTCATCAATAGATTGACATCGATCCCAGGTGGCTAAACTATTCATGTAATCCGTTGGGCTGCGCAGAGATTCGGCCGTAGAAATATTGGGTCCTAAAATATAAAATTGTAGTTATTAATTTCAAAATTGACACATTTGATAGTTTAATGCAAATTTGTAAACATATGAAATGAGGTTATTAGAGGAAGAAGGTACAAAGTAACACTTTTGGAAATAATTGAGGATGAGATGATGAAATTTTGAAAAATTTCTCGCGGAACGATTTTTTACTCTGTTCATTGAGAACTGATGGTGAAAGTAACCAGACACTTGGCAATAGATTTGACTAATTGGCGCCAAAATTTTGACGAACAGCCATTTTGAAATAATCACCAAATCATCCAAGAATAGGCTGAAGTCGGCTAAGTTGAGTGAAAAAAAAAAACAAACTTATACGTTTACTTTCGTTACTAGTTCTCACTGAACAGAGGGGAGCTTAGCCTCAATTTAACTATACAACATTAATTTCTTCCGTTTAATCTTTAAATTTCGGAGATCTCAAAGGAAAAAGGCACTACGTGACCATGGCTGAGTGTTTTTTTTTTTTTTTTTTTTTTTTGAGTAGAAGAAGGTTTCAAGTGCATTTGGAATCGATGAGTAACACAAGAAAGTATTTTTCCGTTACCGAATTAACCCTTATTAGTTGTTGTTGCGTATGCTTGTTAAGGCGGAGGGGTGAGATTGTTCTTGTTTTCCAGTGGCGCCATCTATGGCTAGAACCCTTATTAGTAGTATGGTTTTTTTTTAAAATTTTTTTTATAATAGTCGTTGAACAGCCGACTCAATTTTGAATTTACAACTACCAATTTTCAACTCGGAAGTATCTTGTAATTTTGAACCCAATCGAGATGACAAGGGAACTCCTCAAGTATTGGAAGAAATATTGCCTTCGTAAAGGATTTTTTGATAGAACTAACCCGCATTTACTTTACATAAAGAGGAAAACACCGAAAAACTTCCATGGTTAGCCTCACGGCAAGGGGACTCTAACCCGTGATCCGTCTACCACTGAAGATATTTTACGTCTGCACTGTGGTCTGCGCAAGCAGTGTGCGGAATTCGTATGAACCAACCATTGCTGGGATTCGAATCAACGCTAATAAACACAATTATGTTAACAAATACAAACGATTATGTCGGAGCTATAACAAAAAAATACGCTTTATATTTCATTTAATGCAGAAGAATCTGATTAAGATCAGCTTATTTGAAACTCTGAAATGTCACACCCACATGTAACTTGGTGAATGATAGATACGTGATACCAAAAACAAAACAAAAACATAAGCACACAGCTGTTTGGCGATTTGCGAGACGCTCCTTTAACACCGATAGAAATTTTCGCCAACCCTTTTACAATCTACGGTATGTTTTGCCAATACGCATCCGGGTCACCTCATTGGGTGGCGAGCGCTCTATCCCCTGAGCCACCACAACTCAAACTGTATGGTTGGCCTCAGTTACTAGTTACAGTAGCATTGATTGTAAACAAAATACGTTCGGAACGGGTTAAATAAATGAGAAATGAACGTCAAGAGTGAAAACACTAGGACACGAACAGTTTAAGTAAGTATTAAGGATATATAGAAAAATTAGCGGAAGCTCGATAAAGACAAGATATAGTCTGTATCTATCGGGAAAAAAAAAATTCAAATTCAATAAAATTCAAAGCAAGATAACTCAAACTCCTTGTTAAAACCTTTATCCAATCACCTCTTCAAATTAAGTTTAAAAAAAAATTTTTTTTTTGCATCATACGTAATCTTTGTTGCTACTTGAATCTTCCTCTTTTTTAAAAATTTTTAAAAAAAGTATAAGTCTACTTAAGAAGAAAAAAAAAACCTATTAATAGTAGATTTAGTAACAATAGAAATCTTGTTTATTTACAATCATATATTCAATGGAGAGTGATTTCTTGATTATGTAACATCGAAAAATATTTATCTATCTTCTTAAATTGATTTAGACGTAAACCCTTAAATAGGTCGATAAACGAAAATAATGAATAAATAAATAAAAAAAGACATTAATTTCAAACATAACAGCCAGTTTAATTTGAAAAATATTTTTACTTGAAAGAAATCTGTAAGATTTTGAAGTAATTGACAATTAAAGTAATTTATAAGACAATATTTCCTTAGGCGAAATGAAGAATTAGTAAGATAATTATTTTAATGAGTGGTTTTAGATAAAAATAAATAAAATTTTATACCTTCACTCTTTGGGGGAGTAAAAAAAAAAAAAAAAAAAAAAAANCACTGCCTGGAGCAAGACTCCGTCTCAAAAAAAAAAAAAAAAAAAAAACATGCTGTAGTTTACTTTTTCAATTGAAAACATACATATTCTTGTAAACATTATGCAGTATAATTATAATATACATGTATTTACATTCAATTATAAGACGTATGTAATTTGTTTTTAAAACAAATTGATATTGCTTTTACATTACAGAAAGATTAAGTTTATATTAATTGGTATAAAAATGGAATTTATGGTGGCATCTAAAACCTAAATAAAAAAAAAAAATTCTCTGGAGCTCTTCCAAAAAAAATGTACACTGCTAATTTCAACTATAAAATAATTAATACGAGTCGCGGTGACTCAGGGGATAGAGCGTTCGCCCCTCAATGATGTGACCCAGGTTCGAATCCTAGAGGTGGCTGGTTGATGCGAATTCTGCTCCCGGCTCGCATCAACCACAGTGTTGACGCAAAATATCCTAAGTGGTAGACGGATTATAGGTTATAATTCCCTTGACGCCTTGCTAATCATGGGAGATTTTCGTGGTATCCTCTTCATGCAACACAAATGCGGGTTACTCCCATCAAAAAGTCCTTTACAATGACTAATTTGTTCCAATGCTTGATTCAGGAGTTTCCTTGTCTTCCAGATTGGGTTCAAAATTCTAAGGCTACAGAGTTGAATATTGATCGACGTAAACTCAGAATTGGGCCGGTTTTTCAACGCCGGTTATAAAATACATATACAGGGCGGGTAGTCAAATTATTCAACAAAAAATAAGCACCTTTTAAGCACTTTTCAAGCACTCTAAAAATATTGTTTAGCACTTTAAAAATATATCATAATTAGGCAAGGTTGGAAAGTTTTTGACAATTTAGTTTTATTTTGTTATAACCGTCATCTCGAAGAAAAAAAAAATCTTTTGGCATTGTTTTTGACAATTGTCAAAAATCATGAAATTTTGAACCATGTAAAACGAATGGTGCTTTCATACGCTACGGACAGACATTGACTAGGTGCCGAACATAGACGCCGACAGACAGACATACAGACAGCAGTAGATTGACTAGGGTTAGAATTAATTCTGAAAATGCTGAATAGAACAATGTGAACTGTGTCTTTTTGTATAATTCGTAGCGAAAATCAACATGGTAAAGGAAAAATCTCATTTTGAAAAAAAAAGAAAGGAAAATTAAGCACTTTTTAAAAACATCCAATAAAAAAAGATAAAACGATAATCGAAAATAAGTACCTTTAAGCACTTTTTAAAAACGCTACGCACCCTGATATAGCTAATATGTAATTCACAAACATTAAAAAAATAATCACTGTCACAAAAAAACGAAATGAATTTTTGTTTCACAACTGTTTATAAACTCGCGGTACCGCCAAAAATAAAACCTAACCGCGTTTAAAAAAAAAAAAAAAAAAAAAAAAAAAAANAAAAACCTAACCGCGTTAAAAAAAAAAAAAAAAAGACAATGATTACACGTATATTGTACTATTCTCCCCATAACGCCATAGATGCCAAAATGGCAGAAGGGGCGGGGGAAATATTTATTTTATATTTAAACTTTTTTCCAATCGGAAGTAAGGCCGAACAATCTGCCGTTTCTCAAACCATCTGTCAACAGAGGGAAAAGTTCCGGAAAGGGGCCCCCATCAAGGATAATCTCGTCTGCTTCGATGGAGCTAAAAAAGACATTTTTCCCTTAAGATTTTATCTGGACGATTTTCTTTCTATTCCTTTTCTTTCTTAAGATTTATTTCTTTACTTAAGATTCCAATGTATATGTTCAGGCTGTAGAAAGATGTAGCTGTATGGGAGCAATGAGAAAAACTGATTTGAGGGAGACAAATATTTGTTCTGTTTTCCATTTTTGTTCGGAATTAATGCGGTAAGTTATGAAAATAATATGAATAGTTGAACGCTGTTTCTAGAAAGTTTTATAGTCATATGAAGAAACGCTTTTTAGAGAATAATATGCTATTTTTATAACTGTAGTGACATTGTTTAGGGCTCATAAAAATATGCTAAGATATTTTTTTTCTTCCTCCTATTGATATTGAGGCTGTTTCTCAAAGGCGTCGTCATCATGAGAAATAACACTTTTTAGAGAATATTCTATTTTTAAATGGTCGTGAGGGTGAGTTTGTTTGGGCTTATAAAAATGTGCAAACATATACTTTTTCCCCCGTTGGTTTTAAGGCTGTTTTTCGAAGGCGACGTCGTCATATGAAATAACGTTTTTTAGAGAATAGTAACCTGTTANGAGGCTGTTTCTCGAAGGCGTCGTCATCATGAGAAATAACACTTTTTAGAGAATATTCTATTTTTAAATGGTCGTGAGGGTGAGTTCGTTTGGGCTTATAAAAATGTGCAAACATATACTTTTCCCCCCGTTGGTTTTAAGGCTGTTTTTCCGAGGCGACGTCATCATATGAAATAACGTTTTTTAGAGAATAGTAACCTATTTTTATAACTGACATGAGAGTGAGTTTGTAAGTGAGTGTTGCTCATGAAAGATAAAAATGCAAAGATATATATAGATTTTTTCATTAATTTGAAGGCTATTTTTCGAAGGCGACGTCGTCATATGAAATACGTTTTTTAGAGAATAGTAATCTATTTTTATAACTGTCATGAGAGTGAGTTTGTGAGTGTTGCTCATGAAAGATAAAAATGCAAAGATATATATGTAGATTTTTTCATTAATTTGAAGGCTATTTTTCGAAGGCAAAGTAGTCATATGAAAGAACTTTTTTTAGAGAATAGTAATCTATTTTTATAACTGTCATGAGAGTGAGTTTG